AGGAGATTTATATTCCTCAATTCCTACCTTGCTGTCCGCCAGGCACTATAACATCCAAGGCAATAGTATTATTGCCTCCTCCAAATACCGTCTTGGATCCCGGATAAGCGGAGCAGTCGAGATTAGTAACGTTGGCGGGACAGTACGCGGAAGCGTTTCTGTTGACGAAGAACTTCCCTCCGCTGGCGTTGATGGCATCTCCAGCGAAGAAGTAATCGTCGGTCGTCGGCATCCTCCACACACCGGCCGTCCACGGACCGTCCGGGACGGACCCCGCCCTCGCTGAAATCGCTGCTGCGAGAGCGGCGACCGGACAGACCGCTAGAGCTGCGAAGCTGCGCATGGTTGGATGAGGCGAAATGTTTCGTTATTATTCTGTCAGTCGTGAAATCAGTTATAGAGATCCTATCGCCGAAAACAACGAGTAAGAAAAGAAACTGATGTATTCGGGAAGATTGAGTTCCTTCTTAAGGAAATGAAGGTTGCGAACTTGTTCTAGAGCTATGACACGTTACTTAGGAAGAAGCAGTTCGTATAAATTGGCGCGGTGCCATGAGCATTTTGTAGTTGTCGTGTCGCCTGATGCGACGTCGCAGCTGGAGACGTTGGTTTATGGATCTAGAACCCGGCTTTCACGGCTAATATTAGGTACGGGCACCTGGCATTCGTTCGCTTAAATAGAGACGTGCGGATCGTGAATATTAATACGAGGATTACGTACCTGCTTTGCTCCTTGTGGGTTACATGACATCACATCCCCAGCAACCTATCAAGATGCCTACTAGCGACAAGTATGTATTGTTTTAACTCGTATTCCTTGAGACTGCGGATATGGTTATGGGTTTACTGTAATCGGAAAGTGGAGTCCCACATGCCGGGTTTCCATTGGTAGGCGGAGTTAAAGTTATATTCGTACAGGTCTTGCACCGTGTAGGCTTTCTTCTTCTTGTTCTTCCCCCCCCTTTTCCTTGGAGCGTCAGATCATTGATGTTCTCTTCCATGTGTAGTCTGAAGGCTCGCTCTAGATTCCGACTTTATTTCATATCCAGGCTCTGGTGTAACAGAATTTATGAATACCTGACAACTTCCTTACTAGGCAATTGAGTAGGGTTAACCTCAAAGCTGAGTAGTTTCAACTAGATTAGGGACCTATATCACCCATTCTTTCTTTTAGGCGTCCTCTTCATGTACCTGACAATATACCTCCCCCACCTCCCGCTCCCCTTCTCCCCCATGACCGGCTCGCCCTCTTCTGGGCCTCTCGGGGCATACTCGTCCAGGTCAATGTCTAGTTTCCTCACCGTCTCGAACCCGAATTTCCCGTATGCCTCGTACGCCTGATGCGACGAGTGCACCCATACGGGGAGACCCAACTCGTCGGCGATGGCGTTGCCGTGACTTATCAGGGCGCGGCCCACGCCTCGGGATTGGTGCGACGGCGACACGATGAGACCGACGACGAACATGCAGCGCGCGTCGGTGGGAACTATGCTGGATAGCCAATATTGCATGTCGGCGTCTTCGAGGGCGTGGAGACGATCAATGGAGTTCTCCTCTTTCTCCTCTCCATTGGCCTTCTTAGCTTCGTTCTTCGCTTCGTCACAGTCCTCTTGCCCCTGACCCCGCTCTTCCTCCGCCGGCTTTGCGTCTCCGGGCCCGCTCCACGGAACCGATGCTTGATCCACCCCTCTGAACGCCCAGCCGGCGTGCCCGAGGATCTCGCCCGTTGCGTCGTCCACGGCTTTGACGTAGATGTAGTTTTTCTTATGGAGGGTGTTGAGGAAGCCGGAGCGGGAGATGGCGTACATGTCGTAAGGCCGCCGGCCTAGCTGCTTTACGGTGGTGTGGGGGTCGACGGAGAAGGCGGACGCGGTGATGCGGGCACAGGCGGGAATATCGGCGTAGTTGAGGGGCTCGACGGAGACCGAGATCCCCTTGTCAGAAGACACCATACCCGGTGGTCCTGCCGTAGCCACTGCGCAGAGGAACCCTTTTGGAGAGGCTACTTGATTCCTATGCGCTCTTGCATGTGACAATTATGTTTTCGAATACGAGGTGCTAGCTTTGGAAGACACATCCGTTGGCTCGGGATGCTTCCCCACACTCACTGCGGAACGAAATGCCCGGGCCGCACGGCGAGAAGCGGGGATGTGCAGAATACCTACCTACCTAATGCAGGGTGTCTCAGTGGTTGGAATAGGTCAAAACCATTCAATTCACCTTCAGATTTACCCAGGTGTAGATAGCGGTGCCTATAGATAACTGGTATTAGAGGTAGGTATCTACTATAATATGAAGAACACGGTACTATGGACTCAAAAACCGGGGTTTGACGATCTATACCTAAGCTCTGCTATACGCTATTTACGGGCTAACCACACGAAATGGAAGCACACGTACCCCTTCATCGGCGCACACCACGTTTTAACCCATTTGCTTGATGCTGTGATCCCCTTAACGAAGTCATAGCGAAACCAAACCCCGAGCGAGCATGCAAGGATGTTCTGCCGAGTAAACTCCAAAGAACGGGACAGTGATCGACGACGACGCCGACCTCGCAGGCGCGCTTTCCTTCCCCGCACAGCAGCAAAAACCCGTTCTTCCAAACCACCTTCTTGAAGCTGGGTGGGATCAGCGAACCTTCTCCAACAATAGAGCGACCGAAGCTAGTAAGTAAGTAGGTCGAAGAAGAGAGCGCGCCGGATCAGACGTCTAGGTATCGTATTGGTGGCAGAGTCTAGGCTATGGCTCCAGACGCTACGCAGGATCCGAGTTCCCACGCCTTTCCCACCAAGCAGCTCACCATACTAGGTAAGCAACCCCTACAGCATTTTTCTCTAATGCCCGAGAGGATCTTGGCTGAGCCCGATGGATAGCAATATGTCGCTTCTCGGAGCCGATCGCGTTCAATTCCATCCTCGCCTACACGTATGTGATGGTCCAGGATCTCCACGGCGGGGATGATACCGACGCATCCTTCTATGCCGGTCTCCTGGTCTCGGCGTACGCCGTCGCCGAAGCCCTCACGGCGATTGGCTGGGGCGCTCTCTCCGACCGGTACGGAAGGAAGCCGGTTGTCCTGTTCGGGCTCGGGGGCGTGGCCATTTCGAGCCTCATCTTCGGATTGGCCACCGAGTACTGGGTAGCGTTATTGGCTAGATTTATCGGTGGAGCATTGAACGGGAATGTTGCTGTGGGTTGAATTTCCCCCCTTCCCCCCCCTTTTTTTTTGTTTTATTTTTATTTTAAATTTTATTATTATTAAGGAAAAACCAGGGAATGATTTACTCTCCTGCCTTCATGAACCGTACTCACATTTACGGTAATAAATACATATAGAGTGCTCACGCCAATGGCAGGTCATGCAAACGATGGTGGCCGAGATGGTCAAGAATCCGGCTCACGAGCCCAAGGCGTACGCTTCGCAGCCCTTTGTCTGGACCCTGGGCGGCATAATAGGATCCGCCATGGGAGGATTCCTAGCCCAGCCCGCAAAGTTCTACCCGTCCCTATTTCCCGCCGATGGCCTCTTCGGGAGGTACCCGTATCTCCTGCCGAACCTTGTGTCGGTCGTCGTGATCATGTTGGCTATCATCCAAGGCATTCTCTTCTTAGAGGAGACAAATCCTCGGGATAGGAAGGCTACTCACGAAGACGTTTTCGAGAATGACGACGAGGCTGTTGACGAGCGTACTCCGCTTCATCGCCCCAAGGATCGAAGATCGTCTGCCAGAAGTCAGTCGCGGACTACCGCTGACAGACCGGTTTTCATCGAGGAGAGCCTTCCGGTGCCAGTTGAGCAGAACTTCGATTTGAGGAGGTCGTCTTTCGGGACCGTGTGCTCGATTAAACTACCTCCGGCACCACCCAAGCAAAACGAAACATTTAACGGGCACGCTTTCAATTTCACTATCATCATGGTAACGACTGCACTGGTCCTGGTTTCATACCATCAGATGGCCTTCAATACCCTTCTACCCACACATCTCTTGGATAAGCCGGCAACACCCCCTGGCGAAATTGACTTCATCGGTGGATTGGGATATACCGTTCACGACGTGGGCGTCTACTTGTCCGTAAACGGAATCCTTGGACTCTTCATCCAGGGCGTCATATTCCCCATCTTCGTTGACCGCGTCGGAGTTTGGAAGTCCTTCGTCCTCAATGTCATCCTCTACCCCCTCGCATACGTGATCATGCCCTTTCTGTCCGCCTTGCCACCCCTTCTCGTATCGCCTGCCATCTACCTATCAATGATTCTGCAGTGCTTCTTCGGAATTGTCGTTATCCCCTGCGCGCTTATCTTGCTTAAAGACGCCACCCCGTCGCCGTCCGTGCTGGGGAAGGTCAATGGGTTGGCCATGTCAGCTTGTTGCCTAGCTCGAACTGTTTCGCCTCCCGTAGTCGGCATCATCTATAGCGCTGGTGGCTCTGCGGCCGCTTGGTTCAGTTGCGCGGGCGTCGGGGTAATCGGGATTATCCAGCTTCTTTGGGTGCCCAGGAAGCATGTCCCTAGTATCGTCCTAGAGAATGGCGCGATGGTGAGTTGAACTGGGCTAGAATCACGGAAGGAGGAAACCAAAGCAAGACTTTATCATAGCAGAGAAGTTGATTTGGGAAGCATCTCTGCGAGGACAGTGCCCACGTAGGCTTATGCCTGTTACAATCAGCCCGGAAGCCTACTTACGAGCTGATAGAGCATTTTCCTTTCATACTAATTACACTGGGCTGCTAGGCGTTCACATAGATGGTCGGCGAACAATATTAAAGACGAAGAAATGGCGTTATGACCTTTACTGCATCGACAGATTGAAGAACCGCGGGTTGAATTTGATAATTCCATAGCAATAACGGAATCATACAGCAATGAATGGCTAATTGGGGACACACTCATATGGCAAGGCAAAATAGCGTAGGTAGATTGTGACTAAATAGAACACCGTTCGTAACTGGAAGCAAAAGAAAAAAGGTGGCACAAGAGGAATCTAACCTCTACACGATGGACTCGCGGGGAATCGAACCCCGGACCACTCCCAAGTCAGACAGACCAGCTTCAACCACACATCATGAGGTGGATCGTCGCCATGTCATGCTAAGGGAGTATTATACCACTAAACCACAAGCCCGGCGTGGTCCGTTTGAGAACCTGTGGGAGACTGGATCTCGCTGGATGAAAATTCGGCGTCGTAGGTCTGATTATAGGGCTGAGGCTCAACAGACGGGTGGGCAATGGGTCTCTGGATGGGGCTGCCCTAATTAAGCGAACGTAGGAGAGTCCACTTGGCGTACCGGCCGGCTGTCACTCAGGTCGTGCTAGTTACTAAGGAGGGAATCACCTAATCATTATGAGCACTGCAGAACTGGTGGCGGAGAAACTAATTCATCAAGGCGTGTTAAGACTCATTGATTTTGTGTGGCTATGTGGATACCTTATATAAGGAACCTAATGTTACCTCTTATGAGAAAGTACCTAGGTAGTAGGTTATGAAGTGTCCGTGGTGGCCATAAAAGATAATATATGGTCGTATAGCCTTTCATTCGTTGTTGGTATCATATCTCACGATGAAGGAGGGCACTGCAAATTTAAAGCTCGCTTCTAATGCCACCCATCAAAAGAGCATCGACTTTCGAACCTTTCCTAAGAGGTTCCTTGCCACTGGGCATGCACAGCAGGGCATTAGCACCCCTCAAGCTGCCGACTTTAGAACTTCGTTGGCCGCCTGTGCTGGCGGCGATCAAGTTGCCATCCTTGCCCACCGTGACTACGGCTCGATGGTACTCGGGCCGCACCTTGTCAAGGACGAAGTCGTGCGCGAGCGAGACGGGGACCTTTGTCAAGCCGACTGGCGAGACGCCGCAGATCTGATGGAGAGAAGGCAAGACGAATAAGTGGAACGTAACGATAGCCGATGCGGGATTTCCCGGCAGGGAGAATATGACCTTCGTGACTCGTTCGCCGGCATTATTCTTGACGGGGACGGTCGCGAACGTCGTCGGTTTGCCTGGCTTCATGGCAACGCGGCCAAAGTGGATTGTCCCGCCCAGTGACCTCTCAATAGTGGGCTTTAGAAGGTCGAGCTCGCCCATCGAGACTCCTCCAGTCGTAATGACCACGTCGACTTGTCGCAAGGCGTCTCTCAGCGTCTCTTCCAACGTACCAGACTTGTCTGCCGCGATGCCGAGATCGATGACCCGGTATCCCCACTCCTTTGCGGCAGACATCAAGGTGATGCGGTTAGTGTCGCGTACTTCTCCGAGTCGTAGATCTCCCGGTCGGTCATGTTGGACAATTTCGTCCCCGGTAGATAGCACGCCTATATTGGGCTTACGGTACACATTCACCTCCGCCACTCCGACCGCAGCAAGTAGGCCTATCTCGCCACCGACAGCTGAGATCTGCTCACCCTTGCTGAGAATCGTCGTTCCTGCTTTAATATCGCTGCCGACCTCGCGGATATTCTCTCCCTCTTGCACATTATCGGCCAGAATCTCCACCTCCTTTTCTTCTTTACCATCCTCGGTCATAGTCTTCAGAACCGTGTCTTCCACCATGATGACGGAAGTTGCTCCAGGAGGCAGCGGTGCACCAGTCGTTATCCTAGCAATTTCCCCTTCTTTCAGAGGTTTAACATTGCCTGGTGCGGCGTGAGATACCGAGACGACAGGAAAGACTCCCTTTAAGTTTCCATCCTTGGGAACGACAACCGCATATCCGTCAACAATGCTTGCTCTGAAGGCAGGTACATTTTCTATCGCTTGGACATCTTCGGCCAAAACATGGCCAGGCAGTGATCTATCGACTTTCAAGGTGACGACTTCAGTCGGCGGGGTATGTTCTTTGATCTTTCCTAGGGCGTCGTCAACCGAAAGCATCGGATATGGGGATTCCCTATTCCTCCGGCTAGGGCCAAGGCTGGGGTCATTGGACATTGGGTTCGAGCTAGGTGCCGTATGTCTGACTAAGTTGCCGTGACTGTGACCGTGACCATGGCTGTGCCCGTGACTATGACTGTGCTGGTGGCCGCTCCCAGGGCCATGGTGATGGTCGTGAGTGTGAGAGTGGCCCCCTCCCGGTCTAATGCCGGCTTCGGCTTCAAGTTTCTTGATGCCGCCTGCATGTAATGATCTCGAATCCGTTCCAGCAGCCTGCAGGCATGCGTGTGGCAGTGTTTTCAGGATCGCCTGGAGGTTTTCTCGAGCCCCTTTCGGTGAGCCCGGAAGTGTGACGATTATCGATTTATTTCGGACACCTGCAACTGGCCGAGACATCATGGCGACTTTTGATGTCAGTACCCGAGGTCTCCTCACTTTAAGGAGTAAACTAATCTACTAACATGGAGTGACGTTCAAAGAAGCTGCCAGCATGCCATGAACAATGCCAGGCGCGGCCTTATGAAGCAAAGCTGACACGGCCTGGTCCAATTAGCCCGAATTCTATGTAAATTTATGTATGAAAATCCTGCCATGTACCTCTGGGGTGTTGTCAGTTACTGCAAAGCCAGTTCCCCCGGTGGTCAGGATGAGGTTGATGGTTTCTGCCGAAATATCCGTCCACATCATTATCTGTCGCTGGATTTGAGTGACGTTGTCGGGTACGATTTTCGTGTCGATGAGGTCCCATCTTCCGTCCCCTTCCTCCACAATGACATCGCTGAGGGCAGCCTGAGAGGCGTCTGTTGAAGGATCTCTGGCCGCCGTCGTAGAAACAATGAGTAATGCGACATTTAATGTAGCATTAGACATGGTTGCTAATAAAAGACTGAATAATTAGAGCACTTGATCGGAGAATCAACTCAGGCCTCACTGTAGATGTAACCCGGGAATTTAATATAGAATGGATTATATCGAGTCTAGCCTAGTCAGATGGTTGACGAGATTCGGTGCAACAATCTTGAGCCGGCATCATGTATGAGAGAATCTCTCCTTTATGGTGCAAATGCGGGGTGAGAATTCACCAGCTGTTCATGTTGCTACGAATTCCCGAGATCGTCTTTCATGGACCAGTACAATTTTTCTAAACTAAATAATTTGGTCAACATAAGGAGACAAGGAACAATGATGGACTTTCTCTAGAGCCTACTACCTATATGTATCCCAAGAATTAAATCGAATACGAGATGCAATAGTATTGTCAAGCAGCAGGTGACATAATGTCATACGGTGAGAATTTCAATCCTCGCTGATTGCACTGTATAGGTACGTTACAGAGCTCCGATAAGATAAAGCTTCAGCAAGGCGGCCGGGTCCAAAATTTTAAGGCACATGGGCAGTTTGTACCGTGACTTCAACTATGTGACAGATCCCGATTATAAATCCGCCATAGATGTATACGTCGGGGCAGTCCTACGTATAGGTCACCGAGAACCGGGTCATCTGTAAAATCAGATAAAATGGTACGAATCAAGGAGCGCTACCTCCTAGTGAAGATCCTCTACCCAAATGAACTGGGCAGCCGGCCTGATCTCCCCGATGTTGTGGTCATCAACCAACCCACGACCGACCAACTCAATCCCGCTGCCCTCCTTAGAGGCATACGCGCAGAGGCTGCCAATCTGTTTGGGGACTTTGGCTCGGGTGCTCTCGAGGGTGGAAACTTGTCCGGTGAGTTAGCAACGCGAAAACCCCTTACGAGTTATACAAGGCTTACAGGAACCCATTAGTCAAATACTTCTCTCACGCTACGTCAACCTTCATTCTGCGAGTTTCGCGATCATCGTATCGCCTTCTCTGGGCTGCCCTCACATTTATGACCTCAATTCCTGTGAAGAATGGCAAACCATGCGTCTTCCGTGTCGTCCACGTGAGCGGCACTATGCGCAAAGCAGAGGAAGAAGCCATTCGTCGCGCTCGGAACCTCATTTTCGCCGCGCAAAACGACCAGAAGGAGAAGACTGATGATCCTCTGAGCAACATATTTGGAAAATCAGATCGATCGCAACGTGAAGTCGCGATGACAGACTTACCAGGCATTGGAGATGACGCCAGTGATATAGAAATGCGCGAAATAAGCGATGGTTGAGAGGGCATCACTGGTACTTCCGTATAACCTTCACTCCACTATCTCCCGTAGGAGGCGGCATGCCGTCGAACTCATCGTCGTCATCGTCTGGAATCAGGTCGGGCGTAGTGGCTCCAGTATCGCCCCCGGTTCTTCTCTGCTGCTCTTCCCATTCCTTATCCTCCGCCGCATCGTATTCCTCCTTGGCATCGACCCACCTCTCCTGGATGTCCTGGATCTCCATCATGGACGCCTCGTTGCGCATTGCGACTTGCCAAACTGTATCGTTCGCTCCCTCTGCGCCGCCGAACACGTACCCTCCAGCTCTATCGATGACTCGCAAGAGGTGCATCATGCTCTTCTTGTTTTCGACAGCCAAGACCTCGAATCGCACCAGGGCAAAATTCTCAACTAGGTTGGCGACGGCTTCGTTTAGCCGGCGAAACTTATCACTGCGCATAGCAGGCGATTCCTCCTCGAGGTATGCCAATAGGTACGATAGATCTTGTACCTCGGTATAGTAATCGAGATTGAAGGGTAGCGGGTCGTACGAAGAGATCTTATCTATCTTCGTGAGCACGTTTATATGGGGGAGATCCATCTGGAGCATGGCGCGGAGGGTTAGGAGTAGGTTGGAGATGTAGAGCGACGGTTGAGTAAGGCAGAAGCTGTCGGAAAGGTGTACAGCGACAAGCTGTGTTTCGTTAGTAGGCGCGCTTCAGATGAAGCTTTCAATGGGAGGTCATACTCGGTAGCCCATCTTTTGCAGCTTAAAGAAGATGTTCCGGAGAGAGTTGTGGTGCGTATACAGCTCGACCTGGCCTGGACAATCAAAAAGAATATACGAGTCTCCCAGCTCCTTTAATCCATTCTCGAGCCACTCCATGTTGTTCTCCAGTTCTTCAAACGCGTATAGTATGCCACCATTAGGTCCCAGCTGGTCGTCGCTCATGATCTCTTCCAACGTAATCAAGTCGCGAATATCCAGCGCACAGGGGTAGTTCGTCTTGTCGTTCGCGGGATCCAGATTTACCACAGAGCACTCGCGCCCTATCGCGCTCATGAACTGGTGCACTATAAAGAATCAGAACCCAGCTCCAGTTCAAGATGTTCGAAAGCTGAGAGATA